GTTACTTCAGTGATCATCATTCATATGCTGCTGGGTGTTTTGACTGATAAATACTGACAGGAGAAAAAGGTGGTATGAATAGAAGCTAAAGAAGAGACCCTGTGTGATACAAGATGTGTATCTGAATTAAAACCACAGAGGAACAGCATCCTTATGACTTGCCCATTCAGCCAATGTTGATACGGATCCCCTGATGACTGGAACCTGGTGCCTTTCTGCCAAGGGTGTAGCTTTGGCTTTTTATGAGAGAGAGAAATAGAAATCTGTTAATATACCTCACTCAGTGTCACTGTGTAGGGACTCTGTGGAGATTACTTCCTTCTGATCTTCAGTTAGTGACTCATCAGAGTTGACTGAAAGCTTGTGTTGAAGAGTTATTTCAGGCTGGAATATGTGTTGAATTTATGGCCAAGTAGCAATGTATCTGAAGGGTGTTGTTGGAAAACATGGAATACTCTTTTTCTCTCCCAGTGACATGTTGTTTGAACAGTGGCAGCTTATACTACTGGAAGCTTTCACTAAAATATACTGAAATTGGCATCAGTTAAATGTGAACTTTGTTTATGCAGAAATCTGTATGTAGAACACTTTTTACATTTCCTTTGGTCAGGAGTGATAGTTCAGGAGTAAGACTTTAGAATAAAAGGGAAAAAAAAGAAAAACTGGCCAGAAGACTATCAAATGATTTTTGACTTAAAATTCTTTTGGAATCTAAATGTGGTGCTGCCGAACAGAACATCACTCTGCCTTCAAGTATTTTAGAAACAAAACCAAAACTTCAAATCATCTCTTAGATCTTTAACATGCTGCTGCTTTTGAGACTGGAGATTATTGTTAGTAAAATTGCTCATGAGCTTTATCAGGGATTTAATGTTACTTGAAGAAATCCTCTTGGAAAACCTCTTAAAAGGTTCACTGCCTTCAGTTATTTTATCTTTTGGGCTCAACAACTTGTGGCAGTAGCTCAGGCCCAGGACAGAGGAACTGGTGATAATGTGTCAAAGGCAGGCAACTGGTTAACTTCACTGTGAAATTTGAGTTTGACTGCAGTGCTGACTTAGTTTTCTCAATATCATCTTTGCATTCTCTTGGAAAATGTAGCTGGTAAATTGAAGATCCTGTTGCTTCTTTGCAATGAGACCCCAACTTACTGTCATGTATCCAGAGGTTTCTTTCTCAACTGAAACCAGGGCTCATTATTCAAAAAACTGCATAAGCTCTTTTATGTTAATGTACGTATTTACGAGAAATGGACTTCTGCAAATGTGAACCTTTAGTCTGGATATATGCAACCTACTGTAAGCTTGTTTGAAGGCAGTACTCTTGGGTTGCCTTCTCTCTGAAGGTTCTCAGGGCAGCAATACACGTAATGTGCAATATGCTTTTACTGACTTGGGGCATTTTTTCCAAGCTGTGTCTCACAGTGCTGTTTTAAATTATATTTTTAGAGAATTATTTTTAATGGTGTTTTAGGGTGGAGGGGAAGAATGAGCCTGCATGCTCGTGTGTGTTTGTGTACTATGTTCCAAGAACACAGCTTCTGATATCAAGCTAATAATTTCTTCCATTCAGCAGGCTAGAGGATTCTTCTTATTTTTTTAAATGCAAACTGTAGCTGAGGAGGCAGCACTCATCAGAAATTAGTCTAGAAGTTTAGATAACTTAGTCTTTTATCCTGTTGGCTTTGTATTTATATTAAACTTTATTTTCAGAAGACTTCAATGTGTGTTTTTCTTTTGACAGTCTTAAAGAACAACATACACATGACAGTAATATTGTGGGGAGGTTTTTATCACCCTTATACTTTGCATCATGTGCAGTGTTATACTTTGGACTGCCATTGTGCTCAATGGTGAAAATAGTTGCCAAGTTTCCAATAAGCAAGGACAGCTGAAGTACCCTCTTCTTTTTGTGGTTTCTCCTTAGTTTTTAACAGCTAGCAAAAAGTATATGTCTACACCTTCAAAATACTTGATCTGAGCACTCATAATGTTTTACAGAAGAGTGGTAGGACACATGATGGAAAGGCTTTGCCAGAAAATAAATTGTGAAGGATTAGACAGATCAGGAATTTGATCACTGCACAAAGAAGGCAGAAAATGGGCAGAGACAAGGTGGAGACATAAAAGAACAGATTGTTCCAGATCAGATGGCCAGTGCATCTTGGGGGTGCCATCTTACCTGAGGAGGTTGACAGGCTGAATAGGAGAATGCAGCTATTAGTTCAGTCTTTCTTCTGGTGGCTGTGTCTTCTAAGCAGGAATTGTCCATTGACATCTAGGTTCCATTTGTGCTGTTGTGTCATGGGTGGAGATGGGGCAGATTAAGTCCAACAGCAGGCTCTGAAAGGGAAAAGGATTTATTAGAATTTGTGTTGGCTTAATACTGCTTTGCCTGACAGTTCTCTCCAGAATGCCTTGAATGTTGATGGCAGTTCTGCACATTTAATTTCTAAGTAAATACTTTTTCATGTCTCTGTCTGTTTGTTTTTTCTTTTGTAGAAACACCTCTTCAGGAGGAGCAAATATAAGAGTTCAGCCAACATAAAGCTGCTTTTCTGAAGACTTTTTACTACAGTTCTGTCTGGAGGGAGCTGCAGAGGTGCATGCAAAGCTGAGTTAATTTTTAAACAAATGCATGCAACACTTCCCACCCTGTGCTTGTGCTGCTTGATGCTGTCAGTGCAGCATAGTCATAGATCACAATTTTCACAAGTTGATTAACTTCTACAGCTTCCCTGGCAGACTTGGAAGTAAAAAAGGCTGCTGCAGAAGCAAATGCAGCAAAATGTGGCTCACAATACAAAATGGGCTATGGCACTAGTTACTCCCTTACATGGGAGGATGTTGCACAGGTAACCGTAGCCAAATGAGACAGCTGGTATTAAAATAAAACCCCCAAATATATTAGTGAGTCCTGACAAAGGATACAGGTAGAAAAAGTCTGCTAATGTTATCAGGCACCAAAGGTTAAAATGAACTTAAAAAATCTTGCAGCTGCAGCTTGCTGCTTTTTTAAACAGGAAACTAGTACCCTCTCCCTATTTGTAAGAAAGCCACAACTTGGTGTTTGCAAAGTTGTCAAAGCCACTGTTTGATCCTTTTGTTTTAGCAAGTTTTACATGCTGTAGTGAACAATTTAAAGTGTATATAATGCTCTTTGATCAGTATAATCAACTCCCTAGTAAAGTGCACAGGTGTTGGTGAGTAAAATTTAGCTTAGTGCTGTTTTTCTACTGAGAAGTCTAGGTACCAGCAATTGTGGGCCAAACAGTGGTGGATTTTTGGTGACAACTGGGTTTCCCTCACCCCTCAAGCACTTTCTTATTTTGCCCTCTCTGCTGCTATGCTTTTTTCCCATGTGAAAGCATCCCTTAAGGGCTTTCTAGAGAGCCTAGATGAGAATCCTCACCCTTCCTTTCAAAGCATTGTTGTCTGTATAATGGGGAGTGAGTTGATAACATGCAGAACATGAAAACAAAATGTGCCAGTTGTGTAAGCTAAATGTAGTTGCATCTAGAACTGGAATTAGTGGCGGGTTGTTTCATTTTGTTTTCAAAGCAGGGAATCATCAGGTATCAGCATCCTCTGCTTCAGAGGAGGTTCTTGGGGACATGAATAGTTCAGACAAAACAGCACTGTCCTTTAATTCTAGTATAAGCTTTAGTTTCGTATAACACTTGCCCAGTGTCTACCTCTGCCCAACTCTACGGGTTATTCTGTGTAATTCGTTAAAAGTGCTGAATACAACAGGCATATTCTAAACCCAAATGTTCTAAGATGTCATATTTGCAGAGGAATGTCCTAGCTGACTTCACCTCAAACGAGGAGTTAAGCCTGGAGAGATCCCTTATTACTTCTCAATATCACCTCATACAACCGAAAAGGCTGAATTTCAACAAAATCCTATTAAATCAGTAGGTCTGTGTGTTTGTGCGAGTACCAAAGGAACGTCTCAAGGTTGAACAGGTTTCAGATTTGACTTGTGTTTTATTAGAGTTCAGCATTATGCTTTGCCTTGGAGAGTAAGTAATGCATTGAGCAACACCTGGTCATAAGACATGTGTAGCCTGTTTTGGGTAAACTGATGGAGTTGGCATGAAGCCTTGTTGCAGCTGGAAAATTTAGTAAACTTTATTGAGGAAAAAAGATAAGGAACTAAAAGCCTTTTTTAATACAACATACCAAAATGATTGGCATTAGCAGTTGTGTACCCAACCAGAAAATTAATTTTGTATAGTCAAGACACATGCCCTGGCTGATTAGCTTGAGAGGGCAAACAGCTAGGTGGATCCAGAAGGCAATAGAAGCTGGAGAAAGGAGTATGAAAAGGGAAAATCTTTGTGGACCTGGTATTGGCCAGAAGCAATTTGGAACAGTGAATCCCAAAGCTTTTATATTTAAATCCTGCTGTGTCAAGAAAATGGATTTTCACATGCAGTTCATGTAAACAACAGGATTGAACTTAGAAAATAAGACTCCACATTTTTTTCATAGCAGCCTGTCTGTAAAACCTTAAATATCTTCTAGAAATTTGGGTCAAGAGGGGATACTGATGACAATGAGAAAACCAAGATAGTACTATGAAAGTGCATCTTTTAATGAGCGATAAACTGACTTTCTCTCGTTTTCAAGCTCCTAAATTTCTGTCCTCCAACCAGCAATAGAGCAAAAGACATTCATCAGGTCTTGCATTTTCATGTACACTTTGGGCAGAGTACTGTGCTATTCTTTAGACAGAAGCTGAATAGAGCTTCTATTAAGTAGGTGGAAGACAACATTTGAAAAGGCCAAGTACATCTCATACCCTGAAATACTTAGACTGGACAGCTTCGTCGAATGCTTTGTTGCATCTTCTGATTTTTGCATTCAAATTTTCTGAGTATTTGTCAGATCTTTAGGAATGGGGTAAGATTTACGTTAAGGATAACATTACTCTGAAAACCAACTCTTCATGTTTGTAAATACAAAGAAAAAGAGGGAAAGACAATCCGTGCTCTATTTATTTGTATTGTTGAATGTTTTCCAGTGCACTGGAAGAGACTGGCTTCACTGCCTTAAGCAATCTTTTTGCTGATCCTTTTGTAGGCTACACCAGAAGCAGTAGAAATCTGGAATAAAGAACAAACCAAAATTGGGTTGAACAGTGCAATTAGAGCTTCAGTGTCACAAATGAAAAGACCTGCTGACTGGCTCACAGAAACTGCCCTTTACTGAAGCAACATTTACCCTTTTGTAGAAGACATCTAAAAAATAAGCTTAATGTCATTGTCAAGTCTGAAATATGCAGTGCAAAACTATTCTTACATTAAAGTTATAGTGGTTTAGGGATAACTTAAATGTATCCTGTTTTAGACATGGCTTCATCAACTCCAAGTTACCAACAAAATGGCAACACAGCTTTGTTAGATTACTTAAACGACAATACTTACAGAAAACTTGTAAAACAGGATTGTCAAACATCATGTTTTCTGATTCTCACAAATTTTCCTGAACTGACTTATGTCTGTGCCATTTATGTCTGTCTGAGTGTATCTTCAACAGAGACTAATCACAAGTAAGTTACTCTGTGAATCAACAAAGGATGCTCACCCTCCCTGAAAGGAATCACTTACTGCTTCTGGAGAACAATTGTCTCACTTGTCTGAAACTCAGAATTTTAAGACTGCTGCTTTTGAGGGGTTTTTTTTTGTTTGTTTGTTGGTTTGGTTTTTATAAGGTAACCTGGATATTTGAGAACTCACCTCCACAAGCTTTCCTCCAGAAATCTCTGAAGTATGACGATAGTTGGGAAAATCAGCTACTAATATCCCATCTTCCATTTTTACAGTTGCCTGTAATAGAGAAAGGTTTAATGTTCCCTGGGGTTACTGGCATTTTTATTATCACTGTAAACATCTGTACACCTGATGCTTAAAGTTTTTACCTTTAAAAATGTAGCTGTGTCTTACACACGCAGCTTCATGAACAAGACTAAAATCCTGGTGCTTCAGTTCTTATATGTTCACAATTTGAATAGAAACACAGTTTCTGTGTTTCTATTATTCTGTGTTAGATGTACTGTTCCTCTAACAGTACATCTAACAAGTAGATACCAATAACCTGTTGCAAGCAGCACAGAAGTCACTCTGCACAAGTGATGTGGATCTTTATGCCAGATCCTGTTCTGTTAAGAGCTGCTTCTGTATGGAAGTATGCCAGGATGCTACTATGAAGGTCACAAACCCCACAGTGGCTCAGCTGACCATCAAAACTAGATATGTAGTTCCATCATAAAATCAGTCTTGTGTATGTAACTAGCCAGTTTCACCTATGCTTTTAGCAATAAAGACAGATGAGCTAGTTATACTTAAAGGTGAAAAAAAAGTAATTTTCAAAATGAAGAGTGGTACAAGAAAACCATTTTACCAAAATACATTTAGGTATTGTTTAGTGACACTATACTAAAAAGGCAGTGGTTTCTTTGCTGAGTCATTTACTCTGCCTCCATCTTCAGTTACTTAATAGGCTTTGGAATTGCTGAAGTGCCAGGGCCAAAAAGAAGAGAACGGAATTTGTAGCATTTCAGAATTGTTAACTCTGCAATAGTTTGACCAAGTAGAATTGTGTCATCTTCTACCTGTCAGGTTTCATAAAGACTTCTCAAAGCCAAAGACATAGTTTTTTACCTTTCATAATCAGAAAGGTGTGACTAAAAAAGCCGCCTGGAAATCATGCAATGCTATTACTATGCTCTGTTTGCCACAGCTCCCTGACACAACTACTGGTTTTCCTGTCTCTTCAATACGTATAAAGCATTTATCCAGTAATTTATTGCAGGGCTTTGGACACCTCACAAATGTGGAGTTTAGCTGTCCCAAACTGTCTTATCCCTTTAAATAGTTGAGAAATTAATAAGGTAAATAAAGCAACAATTTTACAGCAGGTTTGGTATCCAGATTTTGTCCATGACATGAGCAGATCAGTACTGCATAATCTTCCATCTTGCAAGAGGCTGCTTAAGTTGCAGGTTGCTCTGTACTTCTAATAGGAAGGAGGATACAGAGATATTTTTTTCCTACCTTCATGTTACACCTTTTGTTTAAGGCTCAGGCACAGGTGACTTCAAAAGGTGAGCACTGCAGACAGGCATGGGCAAAGCTAGAGACCACAGCACTCCCCTCAGCATGCTGCAGGTGCTGGGCACAGCTGCCAATCAACTATAAAGAGTTGCAATGAGCACTATTTTGCTTGAGCTGCAACACCAGTAGATGCTTGACACTCTACCCTCATTCTTTATTGGTACATACAGTTCTGAAGCTCTAGCTCTATTTAAAACCAGATTTAGATATTTTGCGAGGGACATCAAGAAATGGGGAAAAATTCTATGTTTCTAAGCTATGACAGATGAGAAAAACAATTTAAGGAAGATGTCTCTGAGACACATTTGATTTCCACCCTAAATTAAAAAACAACTGAGACAGGGTAGAACTTAAGAGCTAAATGAATTTACCTTGAACTTTTTACCACCCATTGTCACCATGTCTGCTTCCTTGCCAACTGTGAATGTGTTGGTCGTGGAGCTGCCTCCTGGGAAATGCTGTGTCCAGGTGAAGTCATTTCCATTCTGCACCACCTCAGTGACTATTTTGCTATTCCTTCCCATTTCAATCTTGTCACTGGGGAGACCTTAATCAACAGAAATATACAGTTTATCAAATCTAATAGCTTACCAGCTGTATTTGAATTGAAGCATGCTAATGGTATGTTTGTCCTCAGCAATATCAAAGCTCTGAGTTTAAATGATTGGTATAAAGGAAACTATATGTACGGCAGTGCATTTGCTAAAATAGTAAGTTTTAGTCTTGCATTCTTTTCCCTGAGAAAGGATACACAGAATACATGTATAGATGCAACGTATATGCAAATAACCCCTTCTATTAACCTCCACGTGCAGATGCATGCAATTTAACATGTATGAACTTCTGTATGTGCCTTTGCTATAGAGCTGCACATGCTTATTCATTATGTGCTTGTGCTATTTAGATAACTGAATACAAGCACTGAACTTATGTGTACAGGTCATAGTGTGCCTAAAATCTTTCATGGCGTAATCTCTGAAACGGGTTTGCAGAGTCTTCTGAAAGCATTTACAGACACCTGTTCCTGTGTAAGATTTTGCCAAGCTTTGGTTTGTCATACTATATCTATACTCCTACTTATGAATGGGACAGTAAAAGTGACCTTCACAGTCATCATACTGCAAGCAACTTGGCCCTTCATTCTGCTGCCACTGAAAGGGAGTACTGCTTCTAGAGAACAGGACGAATTCCTGCAGCTGGCAGTGCTTCTTGTAAGAATGAAAACTGAATCTCCTTGCTGAAGTGTAGAGCACTTCTACCACTTTTAGCGCCTGTGGATCTCAGCACATTTCAGTAAAGAACACTTTAAAAGATAAAAAAAACCCCCTCTTTTTAACTAATTTATAACCTTTAAGTCTTACACCCACAACATACTCACCAATCTTCGTCACAAAGTCATCATAGTTCTCATCGCCTTCAAACTCGTATTTGCCTGTAAATGCCATGTTGCCCTGGTGATGTGGCTGGTAGAGCAGAATAGCAGCTGGAACAAAGAATGGAGATGTGCAGATGGCTTGAGGCCCTGGTTTTTATAAACCAGCCCAAGCTGTTCAGCCCACATATATCCACACCCCTTGGAAATACACTTTTATGATATGTGTGAGTCACTAGCATGGATGCCATTGACCTGTATGAAAATCAAGGTTATAATTCAATTATACATCCTTGACAATAATGTGGAGATCAGCAGAAATCAGGGACAAAAGCTCAGTTTTCATGTTAGTGCATATTTAAACAAAGTGATATATTTTTACTTTCAAGATTCCACTGATTTTTGCATTCAGGATAGAATAATGGTAAAATATGTTATAATGAAACAGGGAGAAAACGGCTTCAAAGCAGTGTCTGGAGATGACATCCTTGCTCTATTTGGAAGCATACCCTATATCAGTTAAAATATGAAAATATGAAACAAGCTGCACAGATTCCTAAGTAATCCTGGCAGGATATGGGCAGTGACAGGATTCTGGGTAAATCACTGCACCTGCACATGTCTTACCCTTATCTCCACACAGTAAAAAAGAATTATAAAATATTTTACACTACTCAGATGTAAAGTACATTAGATATGTCCATGGCACTATTTTCCCATACCTTATTTAACATCAAGAGACAAACAGTTTTGTATTGTTTAGTAAGTGTTTGCACAAAGTATAAAAACTGTATTTTGAAGCAGCAGAGTTCTGATTTATGCAAGATAATTGTATGTTAAAAGTCAGGGAGTCTGCTGGGTAATTTAGAATGCATACAGGAGGTGTCCTATGCCTATCAAATCCACTGGCACACACAGATAGCAGGGTAGGAAATTCCCAGCTGCTGTGGATTGGCAAAGTTCCACTCACTGGCTGAGGATACAATTTTTAATCTGAAGAAAACCATTCCTAAGATTTATGTGACAATGGCATCATAGATTGGAATTTTATTTTATTTAAATAATGAATTTGGGAAGGAACAGAAAATCAAAAAAGAAAATCCCCTTTCCCCCAGTTTTATGGAAGTCTGGAGTAATACATAACACAAGCTGAACGAGTGTTGCTATATGCAAAGTGGGTTCCATTTCTTAAATGCAGTTAACTTAATCCCACACTCTAATACAAGAACATGTCTATTTAGAATCAAGAAACTGTTCAGAAAAAGAACAGGAACATAGGCTGGGTGATTAAAAACATGGAAAACAAAGGTCCACTAAACTTCACCACTGCTCTCCTTGGTGTACTTTCACATTAATGTATTCTATCTAACCATTTCTGAATTTCTGTCCACGCTGCACTCTGTCAGAGAACGAGACAAACTTCACTCATGGAATGAAACTTCAGTAAAATGTTAAATCTCATAAATCATGGTATATCATTACGGTTAAACTCTACAAAGTAGAAGCATTGCTACATTTAATAGTTTTAACATCAGTAACACTGTCTTCGAGTTCACACAGTCAGTTGTACACTCCCTCAGCTCTAAATCCTGCACGTTGGAGGGTGTAGTGTAGTTTGCAAGCTGTTGGACTGAGCTGAGACAGAATGGTGCCTCTTGGCAAATGCTGCCTCCTACGAGTCCTCTCTCTTATGGTCACATACTGGCTGTCTCTTGATGCAGCCTCACAGATTTGGGACTGGATGTAGATTATGTCATACCAGCATCAAATTCAAGAGGAACTAGAAATAAGTCTGCCTATATCCAAATGTTTTGTCACAGCATACTGCAATAACCCCTTAAATTAGTAACTGTTGGGGGTTAAGGTTTCTTTAAACTTAAATATATTTGCTATGTACTCATATTTAATGGCATATCACTTGTCAGGGTATGTTGCAATTCAGTTGAAAGAATCCTCTCTAATTTGTATTATGTTTTTCAATTTTACTTACTAAGCTGCTTTCTCCTGTACAAAGCCTCTGCTCTCTGTAAGTTGTACAGCCTTTAAACCAATGACAGAATACACAGGACATGTGAGTTTTGAATAGGAAAACATTCCCTGCCTTAGGAAAATTTCTGCAGTTTCAACACTTTTCCTTACGGGGAAAAATGAGAGGGATTCAGAATAACACATTGACTGATGGGTGAAAAGTCTGAATCAGGCGAGAAGGGGACTTCTAATGGAAAAGAATTTTCTGACCAGAAAAAGCTTCAGAAAATTCTGAATCAGTTTTATGAGAGATTACACCTGTGCATAGAAAAGAGCTTACCTCATGTTCATTAGTTGGGAATTCGTATTATTTCTGGGTTGGTCTTTTACCTACTTCCTCTTCTGAAGTCTGAGAGAAAGTAACTTGAAAATCTTACATTTCATATGAAAGAAAACACGAAACTCTCAAATGGAGATTTGGGTTTTGATGTTGACAACAATCCTTTTTAAAACATTTGTTTGGGGATATGTTCCTGGCAGGAAAAGAGTTTTCTAGAGCAGATGCAGAAAGTGAACAAGAGTGAAGCAGAACAAAATCACGGTCAATTTGTAAAATCAAAACAGAACAAATGTCCTAGGAATTACTGCCTTCCCACCCCTAGCCCTTCACTCTCCCCAAATTTACTCAGCTTTAAATTGTACCATGCTGTGCAGTGGCTGACTATATTGTGCTGGAGTTCATGACGCCACAAAAGCCATACCATCTGCTGTCTGCATGCAATTAAAAGGATGTGTCCATACTTGAAATAGAAGAGAGGCATATACCTTCCCTCTGTGAACATTCTGTGTCCTGTGATTAGCATTCAGAACACAGGAGTGTGGGAGAAAAGTAAGGAACTGGGGGTTTCTGTATTACAAATACATGAGATTCAGGGAAGGAACAGAGAAACTAGTTTTACCACCAGCGTTTCCTTTGCAGTTCTGATGTCTGTAAAATGATTGCGACTGTCCCACAACCATATTTGACACTTAGGTTTTTTAATTACGACTCCTTCAGCTTAATCCCAAGATTGCTGAACTTAATGACCAATTGTGCGGGAGCAGACAACTGAAAACGAAACTTTCTTTATCAGCTGGACCCAGATGCTTAGGCCCTATCTATATAAAGAAAAACAGCATCAGCATGGAAAACAATGAATTGGTTGCACATACACAGAAGCCTTAGTTCTCACTGCTATGGTAAATCTAGGTAAATACCAGTTAAGCTACAACAGTGTAAACTCTGTGCCTTTAATAGAGGTAAACCCCTAGTAATTTCAGTCATACACAGACTTGAAAATACCATTTAGAGGAAAGTATCATCAAGCTTAATTCTTACTTGGGAAAGTGAAACACTAAGAGAAAGTGACCTATGAGAGGTTATCATATAGTGAATGGATGATGCAGCCAGTAAGAAATCTTAAATCAGGCACTAAAACCCAGTGTCCACAGAATGGCACATTAATTTAAACATTCTTATAATAAACAAGCCTTTAGCAGCAAACAATGAGAGCTCTGAGCCACTACTGACTTTTAAACAGTCACTCAGGGAGTTTTACACTTGCTCACTGATGAGCTGTAAGAATCCTTACAGCTGTTCAGCACAACTGGCTGAGCAAGCAAGCACCTAGTTAAGATTCTTATCATCTCTGTGTGGCTCAGTGTAGATAACCAGACAGTGTCCAGCCTCAACTGTGGTTTGGAGAGTGACTGGTGAACCTGTCCTCAGGTTAGCTGAGCACTGAAGGCCTCTGTCTTGCTCTGGGCTCTTGGTGTTTGAGAGAGACATGCACAACCCTGTGAAGAAGGTAAATGAACTCAAGCCATGAACTTTTATGTTTACATAAAACTTATTGGGGCACAATACCATTAGCATAGTAACACCACATGGACCTTGGAGGATAGATTGAACTGGATAAGAAAAATGCCACAGCTCTGTGGAGCAGGAAAAAGATAATATGGAGTATATGAACAGTACTTGAGCTTTCATGTTTTCTCTCTCCCTCTCTCTCTCAAGATCAAACTACATTGATAGCTTTCTTGCAATGTGATATAAAAATGCTGACATCTACACAACTATAAACTTGAGCTTGCCTGCAGTGGGAATGTTGTGGCATAGAGCCAGTGTCTAGTAGAGTAAATTACCAATGAGTAACTATTTGAGTGGGTGGGTCATTCTTGACACACATAAAGTATGAGTTTATTCACCTCCAAGGAGCTGTACACTAGCACTGTACATGAGATTCCCAGAGCAGGTTACCAACATCCATCCAAACAATAAAGGTAAGGCTACACAGTGCTAATAAATGTGCTTCCTCTGCCTGGCTGCTCAGGATCAGAATCAGTTCAGAACAGGTTCTGAGCAAACATGCCGTCATCTGTACCTGTTTGTGCAGAAGAGTCTTTGATGTGCATTGTGAATTTGCACCTGTGTTCCTTCGAGAACAAATCCTTATTCTCTTATTCCTGTCTTTTTTGTTATAAAAATGTAATGAAATTTAATAATATATTGGAGAATGAAGAATTTCACTAAGTAGCCTTCCTAACACTGAGTCAGGACAATGTTTATTCCAAGAGTAAAGGAATGGAGGCCCTCTGACTTTACTGCAGTTATGGTCACTTGTACAATTGCCTAAGTCATCAAGGTCCCTATCACTTAAGTTTCAGCTAAAACCAGTATTCATTTAAAGACCTTACACTTTGCATTTAAAGTATTCATTATTTTCCTGCCTCTTCAGAGCTTTCAGCATGTGATGTTGCTTTTGCATACTCCTAAAGCACTTCTTCAACCTTGATATGCTGATCACTGAAATAAATCGTGCAGAGAACTCCAGTATTATCCAGTAAAAATAAAATAAAAATCCATATCTATGTATACATGTATTTTAAATACAAGTATTTAATCCATTTTAACCACTACAATGTAGTTGAATGGATTAAATCTCTACTCTCTTATAAGGAGAGATTGTGGGAGCTGGGCCTGTTTAGTCTAGAGAAGACTGAGAGGGAATCTCCTTAATGCATATCAGTATCTCAAAGGTGGGTACCAGAAGGATAGTGCCAACTCTTTTCAGTGGTGCCCAGCGACAGGATGAGGAGCAATGGCCAT